TGTCTAATTCAATCCTTATTTAATATCACTTGTCATATAATTCACTCCTTGCTTTTATTTTCCTTCATCACTTCTTTCACTCGTTATTAATTAAGGTGAATGACGTGGTGTGTGAACTATACCTCACAGCTTGTCACTGTTGGGTGCCTCACTTGCCTGCTCTCTCACGCCCCTCACTCTCTTGCGCACCTCAACCTAAACATGTATTGCCAACAGTGTGGTTACAATGTGTATACTCACCTAGTTGTGATTGTGCTTGCGGGGGTTGAGCTCTGGCTCTTTGGTCCCGCCTCTCAACTGTCAATCAACTGATGTACAGATTCCTGAGCCTATTGGGCTCTATCATATCTACATTTGAAACTGTGTATGGCCTCCACCACATCACTGCCTAATACATTCCATCCGTTAACTACTCTGACACTGAAAAAGTTCTTTCTAACGTCCCTGTGGCTCATGTGGGTACTCAGCTTCCACCTGTGTCCCCTTGTTCGCGTACCACCCGTGTTAAACAGTTAATCGTTATCTACCCTGTCAATTCCTCTGTAGGTAGTGATCATGTCTCCCCTTACTCTTCTGTCTTCTAGTGTCGTGAGGTGCATTTCTCGCAGCCTTTCTTCGTAACTCATGCCTCTTAGTTCTGGGACTAGCCTAGTGGCATATCTCTGAACTTTTTTCAGCTTCGTCTTGTGCTTGACAAGGTACGGGCTCCATGCTGGGGCCGCATACTCCAGGATCGGTCTTACATATGTGGTATACAAGGTTCTGAATGATTCCTTTCACAGGTTCCTGAAGGCAGTTCTGATGTTAGCCAGCCTCGCATACGCTGCAGATGTTATTCTTTTGATGTGGGCTTCAGGAGACAGGGTTGGTGTGATATCAACTCCTAGATCCTTCTCTCTGTCCGTTTCATGAAGTACTTCATCTCCCATTCTGTATCCGTGTCTGGCCTCCTGTTTCCACTGCCTAGTTTCATTACCTGTGTGTGTGTGTGTGTGTGTGTGTGTGTGTGTGTGTGTGTGTGTGTGTGTGTGTGTGTGTGTGTGTGTGTGTGTGTGTGTGTGTGTGTGTGTGTGTGGTGTTTACTCATCCAGGTGTACCCTCGTCCTTAGTGTGCTTACAGGAACGATCTCGGCTCCTGGGCCCCATCCGTACTTTGTTAGTATAATGCAATAACTCAGTTCCCACGTTTTCCGTATCATATGATATCCAGAACACAAATGAATGAAGTGAAAATATTACTTAAAAAATACAATATTCCCCATCTGGCTGGAAGAGTTAGACTTACCAGACTTAGGTACACGTGCATTTGTGCAGCTGACCTAGACTACATAAAGGGGAGTACAGTGTGTCAAAAAGCTAGCAACGTGGTGCTAAAAATCCCCATCACACAGGATGGTTAGTCATACAGAGGCATGTGATAAGTAGTCTGCACTGGCAGACTCCGGGTGCATTATGACTCTTGCAGGATGCATGGTGTTAGAACACACATGAAACTAAAATGGAGTTTCAGACCAGCTTTCACACATACACCTCTGAGGAAAACGTAAGACCATCCCCCTATCTGCTGGACTGATGTTGATACTAAAAAAATATTCTGAGTTCATTGGATGACAGACAGGAACCGTTTTACAGGTGGGAGTGTGAGTGGCACGCTCTCACCCGTCACCCGTCCCCCGTCACCCGTCACTGTAAGCCACCTTGTGTGTTTGTGGTGCACCTTCACACACTATTCCACTCTTCATCTCTTCTCATACTCACACTACCCTCATTTTCCCCTTGCTGTTTCCCTTCCTTTTACAAACTCTTGCTCCCTCTACGCCTCTCTGTCCCTCCTTCATTCCTTTCTTCCCAAACCCCTTATTTCTTTATTATCTTCCCCTCTTCATTCTTTACTCACAATCCCACGACCTCACAGACCTCTCCCACCACGCCCCCACAGCCCCCTCCCACCACACCCCCACAGCCCCCTCCTACCACACCCCCCTCCCACCACGCCCCCACAGCCCCCTCCCACCACGCCCCCACAGCCCCCTCCCACCACGTCCCCACAGCCCTCTCCCACCACGCCCCCACAGCCCCCTCCCACCACACCCCCACAGCCCCCTCCCACCACGCCCCCACAGCCCTCTCCCACCACGCCCCCACAGCCCCCTCCCACCACGCCCCCACAGCCCCCTCCCACCACGCCCCCACAACCCACTGTCGCACGGACCTCTACTCACAATGAGTGCTGACTTCAGCTGGCGTGGGTGGGAGGGGTCACGGGACCCTCCCAGGGCTGACGTACAGTCACACACCACTAGGCGGGCGCGCCGCTTCCTTTGGCATATCATTTTTGTGTTGTGCTTCGACGGGCGAGTTTATTGGGCAGCGCCGCTCATCCTGTGAGTGAACACACCGCCGTAGCAGCATGTTCAACACCTCCTAATAAGAAGAAACCAGCTGGATTGTTAATCCTGTCATTGTAGCCAGACGCAGCTGGGACCTGACTGTTAGCGTGAACAGGTGGTCAAAGGCGCATATCAACATTGACCAATCCACACGCTTACACTACCGTGCGGGTACTTGGAGGGTGACTTTTTTAAGAACAGTGTCAACACTTGACAGATAGTGTTTTCCCTAGCTCAAACAATGTGGGATTTAGTAACTCTAGCTATTTATGTTGCTTCAGAGGTAAGCACAGCCTCTCAAGTAATGTTCAAGGCGGAGTCCTTCTCTCGTACCCCAGATGTTGTTTCCATCTTAAATCTCTGTGAGAACTTGTATCCAAGACGATCATCGCCGCAGATACATTGACCATCCCTCATACCACAGATGCATTGACTATCACCTGTAACATCAGTCACTACAAAAGAGCCTTGTATATAAATTCAAAAATAAATGACAACAAAAATAACATTCATAATAGTGACAAAATCATTTGGAGCAAAGACGGGACTTTAAGCAGCATTTGTGGTGACTTCCAGATGCTTGCCTTAACCCACTCGGCCACGATAGGATGAAAACTATTCAACCCGAACTTTACTGAGTTCACTGGGAGAGTTTGGAGGCCTCAACAGGCTATATATATATAAATATATATATATATATATATATATATATATATATATATATATATATATATATATATATATATATATATATATATATATATATATATATATATATATATATATATATATATATATATATATTCATATATAAACGTGCGAACAAGCCTGAATGGTCCCCAGGACAATATGCAACTGAAAACTCACACCCCAGAAGTGACTTGAACCCATACTTCCAGGAGAAACGCAACTGGTATGTACAAGACGCCTTAATCCACTTGACCATCACGACCGGACATAATGAGGTGATAGCCGAGGCTATTTGAACCACCCCACCGCCGGCACTCGGATAGTAATCTTGGGCATAGCATTTTACCAAATCACCTCATTCTTTGGGGCACATGTGAGGAACACAAATGCGAACAAGCCTGAATGGTCCCCAGGACAATATGCAACTGAAAACTCACACCCCAGAAGTGACTCGAACCCATACTCCCAGGAGCAACGCAACTGGTATATACAAGACGCCTTAATCCACTTGACCATCACGACCGGACATAATGAGGTGATAGCCGAGGCTATTTGAACTACCCCACGGCCGGCACTCGGATAGTAATCTTGGGCATAGCATTTTACCAAATCACCTCATTCTTTGGGGCGCACGTGAGGAACACAAATGCGAACAAGCCTGAATGGTCCCCAGGACAATATGCAACTGAAAACTCCGAGTGCCGGCGGTGGGGTGGTTCAAATAGCCTCGGCTATCACCTCATTATGTCCGGTCGTGATGGTCAAGTGGATTAAGGCGTCTTGTACATACCAGTTGCGTTGCTCCTGGGAGTATGGGTTCGAGTCACTTCTGGGGTGTGAGTTTTCAGTTATATATAAACGTATAGTCACACACCACTGCATGAACACACGCAGTGGTGACTATATATATATATATATATATATATATATATATATATATATGTGTGTGTCTGTGTGTGTGTGTGTGTGTGTGTGTGTGTATGTTTTCAGCAGGTTTTCATTTAGACATGTTTCACTGAATAAGACTGCATATTCTGTATTGATTATTTTCTTGTTTAGGGATTTAATCCCTCTGACTAGTGCTCTTGCATCTTAGTTTAACTGGAAGAGGATTTCTCCAAATGTCATCTTTATTCGAGGTGAATAAAAATAAATCATTAACTGTAGGAAGGAGGTGCTTCCTCCCCCTTCTTTATTTTATTTGTAGCTATTTACGTCCCCCATTTATGCCCTAGTCTTCCTGTACGATATATTCCTCACTTATTGGTATTATGTACCTGACCTCCCCAATAGTATGAATCCAATACGCCCAACACTGTCCCTTCACTTGAGAATGAACCATGTAGGCTCAATTATAAAAAAATACATTTATAATTTTAAAAAATTCAGCTTAAACTTACAAAATTTTACTACCATAATGCATTAATACAGTGGAAACCTATTTAACGCACAGTTGATGTGAAATATTAAAGAATATATATTACATAAAAAGAACTTTCAGAAAGACACTGGAACGCCCACTGTTCCCAGAGGTACTCGAACGAGGGTGGGAGACTTGGAGCAAAGACTTAACATGGCGGAGGGAAGGATTAGGTGGTGGTGAGTCGTGGTGAAGTGTTTGTCCTTGGTATCTTCCCTCTCCTGTGTCATTACTGACTAAGGCCCGGAGGAGTGGACGAGCCTGGAGCTGCGTCAGAGGGAATCTGGGTCAAGCCAGCAGGCTGGATCAAGTCAGGAGGCTGGGTCAAATCAGGTGGCTGGGTCAAGTCAGGTGGCTGGGTCAAGCCAGGTGGCTGGGTCAAGCCAGGAGGCTGGGTCAAGCCAGAGGTAGTGTGCAGGAACAATCAGTATAAAGTAGCCACAACAATGCACACAAGAAATGAAACACGAGTAATCACACACACCGTAAATATTACATAGCCACTCCCAAGCCAGTAGCAACCCCCAAGCCAGTAGCAACACCCAGGACAGTAGCAACTCCCAAGCCAGTAGCAACACCCAGGACCGTAGCAACACCCAAGCCAGTAGCAACACCCAAGCCAGTAGCAACCCCCAAGCCAGTAGTAACCCCCAAGCCAGTAGCAACACCCAAGCCAGTAGCAACACCCAAACCAGTAGCAACACCCAAGCCAGTAGCAACACCCAAACCAGTAGCAACACAGAGGACAGTAGCAACACCCAAGCCAGTAGCAACACAGAGGACAGTAGCAACACCCAAGCCAGTAGCAACACCCAAGCCAGTAGCAACACAGAGGACAGTAGCAACACCCAAGCCAGTAGCAACACCCAAGCCAATAGCAACACCCAAGCCAGTAGCAACACCCAAGCCAGTAGCAACACCCAAGCTAGTAGCAACACAGAGGACAGTAGCAACACCCAAGCCAGTAGCAACACCCATGCTAGTAGCAACACCCAAGCCAGTAGCAACACCCAAGCCAGTAGCAACACCCAAGCCAGTAGCAACACCCATGCTAGTAGCAACACCCAAGCCAGTAGCAACACCCAAGCCAGTAGCAACACCCAAGCCAATAGCAACACCCAAGCCAATAGCAACACCCATGCTAGTAGCAACACTCAAGCCAGTAGCAACACCCAAGCCAGTAGCAACACCCAAGCCAATAGCAACACCCAAGCCAGTAGCAACACCCAAGCCAGTAGCAACACCAAAGCCAGTAGCAACACCCAAGCCAGTAGCAACACCCATGCTAGTAGCAACATCCAAGCCAGTAGCAACACCCAAACCAGTAGCAACACAGAGGACAGTAGCAACACCCAAGCCAGTAGCAACACCCTCAATTAACACAACGAATAGTAACAGCATCATTACTATAAACAATATCAGTATTGACATCGTCAACACAACCAATAGCAGCGGGTTACCAACAGCAGTAATAGCCAATAGCTCATTTATCACCAGCAGTACCAACAACAATACCAGCCGTAGCACCACCACGACGAACATCACCACCACCACCACCGACCTTCACCACATCAACATCACATCCAACAACAATATATAAAGTAACAAAAGTCGCACAGCCAACAAAATAAACACAAAAAAGCAGCACCAACATCATCAGTGACTGCCGTTAACAGCACCGCCAGGAACAGCGGTCCCTCGGGAACAAAAACACCGCTGATAATACCAGCAGGAACAGCAACACCCGCGACAACACAGCTAGGAATAAAAGCATTAACAACAACTACAACAACATCATTACCAACGTTAACAACAACAAAACAGCCACCAACAGCTTTAGAAATAATGGCGTGGGACAACAGAACACTCAGTGAGTTCAACAAAGCAAGTCTACCAACAGTCGGCAAAATCATAGTGTGGATTATGAGAACATGAAAACAATTGAACACGACAGTGAGTGTGCTCTTCAAAGCACTGGTGCTCTCTCGTCTGGAATGCTACATTCCACTCGCGTTCACTTACAAGGCAAATGAGACACAGAAAACATCCATATATATCCTTTGGGGTGCACAATAAACAAGCTGCCTCTAGTGCGCCCTTAAGTGCACACTAGAGGCAGAAATCGCCTCTAGTGTGCACACTGAAAGTGTGTTCAGAAAGGCACACTGAAATCGCTTAAAAAAACTTTGAGTACATTGACTTAAAACTGGAGACGAGGGATATATCACATAACCTATACAGGGAAAATACTTGAAGGTCAGGTATGCAAGCTGCAGAATAAAATGGGTTATTGGGTTGAGAGAGACAGTAGAGTGAAAGAAAGACCCAGTGAGGAGTCAGGGGGTGTCAGAAATTCAATTAGAGAACGCTGTGTGAATATCAGACGCCGACGGGTCTACAACCTTCTACCAGCACATATACGAGATACTGCGAGAAGTATCGGACCAGCCGGGACGATGTGTGTGTCTGCCTGCTACCACTACCAGTCCTACCATTACCATCAATATTAAAAATAGCATCATGACCAAGGCAAACTATTGCAGAAGCAACAGCACCGACAAACACAGCATCAACGCTGGCTGTGACAGCAGCAGCGCCACCAATAAGAGTCACACCAACAAACACAGCAGCAGTGCTGCCAACAACCCCGGAAGTATCAGCAGTAGTAATCATGGCAGCAACAGGAGCGAAAACAGCACCAGTAGATAACTATAATAATGAACAGCAGTAATCCGACGATGACCTACGATATCCGTAGTAACAATATCATCACAAGTTATCGTAGCAACATCTATGACAAATTACCAGGAGTTCGATATCCAAACTTTCAACAGTTGCACCAGACATGGAGCAGAAATAATCTAGGCTACCAATATCAAGAACATAACGGATACACCGATAACATAAAGCCATTGGGCACCGACTAACAAGCAATAGGAATAGTAATGATAACAGCAGCACAAATATCAACAACTGCTGATTGAAGAACAATCGAGACCACTGCAGAAGGAACACTTCACAGACAGAGGCAGCATAAGGAGCACCAACACCAGCAGGAGCAGTAACACTTGAGGCACAGTAGCAGAGACCAACGCTGCAGCAACTACAGACACGGAGGCAGCAGCAACAGCAGTCACAGCAGTGTAAACAGTGCCAGAACAGCGCGCCCCTTCAATTAACGGGTCGTGTTTTGCTAACAAACGTTACCAATGTTCAAAACTAATGATTCACAAACAACTACGTTTTCTATGCATCGGACTCGCTAGGTTTGGTGGGATGCTTGTGTTCATACGTTCCTGGTAAGGTTAGTAGGTTGGGTTTTATACATAGTGGCAAACACGAGAACGTGCATCTCATTACCTACTGATTATTTCATTGTGTGGCACGAGAGCTCGTCCTCAACACCCACAAGACCTCTAATGGCCATCTAGCAACAAGCAGCAGTCGTCGAGGTGCCAGCAGCCAGACAGAAACAGCCTTATACTTCAACTTTAGTCCCTCACAGTGGTCATTTATCCGGCTTAGGTTACCGCCAGACAGCAAATATATCTTGCTAAACAAAACGCCGCGAAAATCTTTCCGAAAAACATTGCTTTCAGCCAGAGGATTGTGTTAACTAGGAGCGTGTAGAGGACGTCGCCCGCACTACTCCCTGCTCTCTCATCATAGTCTAACCTGCATTATATGTTCAGAAATGAACGTTCCCGGTTTCTTTGATTCATTATTCAACGCGGAAAACTTTATCCAGGAGAGAGGCAACACAGTCGCTGGACCAAAACAATATGTCAACTTTTAACATGATGTCAAAATTAATGTGGTGTATTACACTATTGCTGCTGGGAGCATGTATAATGCAACGGCCAAATGTGACAGCATCCGTTCCCGCTTGTGGAAATATTTATTTAACATCGACAAACAAACAAACAAAATATGGCATTATCAGATTATTGCTGACGCAAATGTCGTACGGTGTGGGGGGGGGAGGTGCATGGGGAAGGGGGGGGGATGGGGAGTGCCAAGGGTAGGTCATAGAGTAGGGGGTAATGGGAAGGGGGGCAGGGGGAGTGGAATTGGGTGGTAGGGGAGGTGGAATGGGGGATGGGGGAGGGGGATGGGGGAGGGGGAAGTAAAGGACAGTTACAAAACTGTGAGTTAGAGAAAGTTCAAACAATCGAACCCGACTTCGCAGCGGACGAGGAGGGACATAGGGGTTCCACCAGCACCAGAGGGTTCCACCAGCACCAGGGGGGTTCCACCACCACCAGAGGGTTCCACCAGCACCAGGGGGTTCCACCAGCACCAGGGGGGTTCCACCAGCACCAGGGGGTTCCACCAGCACCGGGGGGGGGGTTCCACCAGCACCAGGGGGTTCCACCACCACCAGAGGGTTCCACCAGCACCAGGGGGTTCCACCACCACCAGAGGGTTCCACCAGCACCAGGGGGTTCCACCACCACCAGAGGGTTCCACCAGCACCAGGGGGTTCCACCAGCACCAGGGGGGTTCCACCAGCACCAGGGGGTTCCACCAGCACCGGGGGGGTTCCACCAGCACCAGGGGGTTCCACCAGCACCAGGGGGTTCCACCAGCACCAGGGGGTTCCACCAGCACCAGGGGGGTTCCACCAGCACCAGGGGGTTCCACCAGCACCAGGGGGGTTCCACCAGCACCAGGGGGGTTCCACCAGCACCAGGGGGTTCCATCAGCACCGGGGGGGGGGGTTCCACCAGCACCAGGGGGTTCCACCAGCACCAGGGGGTTCCACCAGCACCAGGGGGGTTCCACCAGCACCAGGGGGGTTCCACCAGCACCAGGGGGTTCCACCAGTACCAGGGGGTTCCACCAGTACCAGGGGGTTCCACCAGCACCAGGGGGGTTCCACCAGTACCAGGGGGTTCCACCAGTACCAGGGGGTTCCACCAGCACCAGGGGGGTTCCACCAGCACCAGGGGGGTTCCACCAGCACCAGGGGGTTCCACCAGTACCAGGGGGTTCCACCAGCACCAGGGGGTTCCACCAGTACCAGGGGGTTCCACCAGTACCAGGGGGTTCCACCAGTACCAGGGGGTTCCACCAGCACCAGGGGGTTCCACCAGTACCAGGGGGTTCCACCAGCACCAGGGGGTTCCACGAGCACCAGGGGGTTCCACCAGCACCAGGGGGTTCCACCAGCACCAGGGGGGTTCCACCAGCACCAGGGGGTTCCACCAGCACCAGGGGGGTTCCACCAGCACCAGGGGGTTCCACCAGTACCAGGGGGTTCCACCAGCACCAGGGGGTTCCACCAGCACCAGGGGGGTTCCACCAGCACCAGGGGGTTTCACCAGCACCAGGGGGGTTCCACCAGCACCAGGGGGTTCCACCAGCACCAGGGGGTTCCACCAGCACCAGGGGGTTCCACCAGCACCAGGGGGGTTCCACCAGCACCAGGGGGTTCCACCAGTACCAGGGGGTTCCACCAGTACCAGGGGGTTCCACCAGTACCAGGGGGGTTCCACCAGCACCAGGGGGTTCCACCAGTACCAGGGGGTTCCACCAGTACCAGGGGGTTCCACCAGTACCAGGGGGTTCCACCAGTACCAGGGGGTTCCACCAGTACCAGGGGGTTCCACCAGCACCAGGGGGGTTCCACCAGCACCAGGGGGTTCCACCAGTACCAGGGGGTTCCACCAGTACCAGGGGGTTCCACCCGCACCAGGGGGTTCCACCAGCACCAGGGGGTTCCACCAGTACCAGGGGGTTCCACCAGTACCAGGGGGTTCCACCAGTACCAGGGGGTTCCACCAGTACCAGGGGGTTCCACCAGCACCAGGGGGTTCCACCAGCACCAGGGGGTTCCACCAGTACCAGGGGGTTCCACCAGCACCAGGGGGTTCCACCAGTACCAGGGGGTTCCACCAGCACCAGGGGGTTCCACCAGCACCAGGGGGTTCCACCAGTACCAGGGGGTTCCACCAGCACCAGGGGGTTCCACCAGCATCAGTGGAACAACTTCCCTTTGTTGTTGTTTTTCCTAAACTGTCTCCCGTGGTCTCCCTCTTCGCCCCCCCCCCCCCCGTGCTTTGTCCTTCCCCCTCCCATGCTCTCTCCCATGGCTGAGGTCCTGACACTGCCTCTCACCGGTGTGGCGCCTCAGACACTCCAGCAGCAACATGTGTGGGTGAGGATACTCTCCCCCGCGCCTCGCTACGGTAGAGCCACTGTCTCGCTTCATGCAGGTCGACGTTCAATCCCCGACCGTCCGAGCGGTTTGGCACCATTCCTTTCCCTTGTCCCATCCCAAATCCTAATCCTGACCCCTTCCTGGTGTAAAGTGATTGTTAAGTGTTATTTCAGGGAAAATAAGTAAGGTAAGGGTTGTCGGGAAACCGACACACACA